GTGGTGTTAGATCTTCTCTAAATTTCTTGTAGAATTTATCATATATGTGTCAGGGACTGGGCTTTTGTTTGTTGGTAGGTTTTTAATTACATTTTCAACTTTATACTGGATTATTTAGAACTTATTGATTCAGCTTTGGTAACTCATATGTATCTAAGAATCTGTCCATTTCTTCTGTGTTTTCCATCTTATTTGAATACAGGTTCACATAATGCATAGTAATGGTCTTCTGGATTTCAGTAGGATCTATTTTGATTTCACCTTTTTCATTTCTGACTTGAGTCTTTTTTTGCTAAGTTGGCTAAGGATTTGTCAATTTTACTTAATATCAAAGAACTAACTGGTTCTTTGTTATTTTGTCATTGATTCTTTGTTATTTTTGTTTTTGGAGGTTTTTTGTTATTTGTTTGTTAATTCTCATTGCATTAATTTCTGCTCTGATGTTTATAATTTCCTCCCTCATATGAGCTTTGGACTTGACTTCTTTTTCTAAAAGCTTGAAGTTCAATATTAAGTTGTTTATTTGAGTGTGATTTGTTTTTCTAATATGAGAATTCACCACTATAAATTTCCTTTGTAGGAGTGCTTCTTTTTTTTTTTTTCATCCTGTAAGTTCCAGTATATTGTATTGGCATTATTGTTTAATTGCAGAAACTGTCTAATTTCTTCTTTAATTTCATTTTTGACCCATTGGTTGTTCAGTGGGGTATTACTTAATTTCTTTTGTGTAGTTTTTGTGATTTCTTTTACCATTGATTTCCCTTCTTTGAATTAGTATGTGGTCTGTTTTGGAGAATATTCCATGCACAGCTGAGAAGAATCTGTATTCTGATGTTGTGGGGGGCAATACTCTATAGACATCTACTAAGTCCCTTTGTTCAAATTTTGGTTGAGTTCTAATATTTTTTGTTGATTTTTTTTTTTTTACTCAAGTTAATCTATTTGTGATAGTTCCCCATTACAGCTGTATTAGTGCTTTTTTGATTTTTCATTTCCATTAGTTATATAGTTGTGCATGCTGGTATTTGTTGCATATATATTTATGATTGTTATTACTTCTTGTATTGTTCTCTTTACAAGGATATAGTGACCTTCGTTATCTCTCTTAATCAGTCTTGGCTTAAAATTCACTTTGCAAATAGAATAACTGCCATTGCTTTTTTCTGGGCTTCTCTATCATGGAGTATTGTTTTCCATCCTTTGACTTTTAATCTATGAGTTTTTTAAATTAAATTGTTTCTTATATGAAACATATTTCTGGATTTTGCTTCTTGATTCATTCTGCCAGTCTGTTTCTTTTGATTGGTGAATTGAGGCCATTTACACTGATGAGTATAACTGGTATATGTTGACCTATCCTTGTTATTTTCCTATTGTTCATACCCCCACCCCACTTACTTACTTGCTTTGCCTGATGGATTTATTAGGTTGAGGTTCATGTAGTTGTCCTTGATTTCTCTTTCTAGAGTGTACTTCATAACATTTTGGAGTGCTGGTTTGATGGTCATGAATTTCTTAGGTGTTCTGTGTCATGGAAGTATCTCATTCCTCCATCAATTTTGAAAGATAATTTTCAGGGTATATCAATCTAGGTTGGAGGTTATTTTCTTTCAGGACTTTAAATACTTCACTCTAAGCTCTCTTTGACTTGAGAGTTTATAATGAAAAGTCACCTATGATTCTCTTGTTAGGTGATTTTTTTAAATCCCAAACAGCTTTTAATATTCTGTTCTTGTATTGAATTTCTGGAATTTTGAGGATTATATGCCTTGGCATAGATTTTTTTTTTTAATTGTGGCTAATTGAAGTTCACTTAACCATATGTGAAATTCTGTTTATCTGCTTGGGAAGTCTTCTGCATCTGCAACTGTGAACAGGATTTTTATGTTGTTTGCACTATCTCCTGTTTTTTCGTTGACTCCAATCAATTATATGTTATTTTTCTTTGCATTATCTAATAGCTGTTGCATTGATTTTTTTGTGGGCCCTTGCTATTCTTGTCTGCTATGTATGATATTCTGTCCTTGCATTGGTTCATTCCGCTGAGTATACAGTAATCTTTAATCTCATCAATATCTATTTGAATCTTTTCATGGATTTTTTTTCTTCCCTATGTTGGATGTTTATGGTTTCCATCATTTTCCTAAGCTCCCTCTTTTTTAAAGACTAGAGTCACTGAGCATGTCTTTCGTTATGATCATGATCTCTGTTGTTATGTGAGAGATTATTTCTGATTTGATTTGTTCTCGCGGTTCACTCATCAGCTTTGTTAACTTCCACTGTTACCATTTCAGAAAAGTCCAGGTGAGTGGCTTTCAAATGATTCTACCTCATTTCCCCATGGTGAGCTGAAAGTCTGAGGATTCACCTTGCTTTGCATCTTCTCATTTTCTTTTTTCTTTCTTTCGGTTTTTTAGTTTAATTCCTGCTTATGAATTGCTTATGGCAGGTGGCTTTAGTTCTAGTACTTAGAACCCTTTGGAAGTAACTAGTTCTCAAAGATGTCTTTGAGGTGAGCTGGCTTTTAGGTTTGAGTGTGTTGCAAGATCCTACCTCTTCAGTTTATTGGGGAAGAGAAGTTGCTGCCTAATTGACCTAGCTCTTTGTTCTTTGGCACTTGCCAATAGCATTGTTTATGACTCTTAGGCAATCTCAGTCTTGGCATACCAGGAAGAATAACTGATTAGAACAATTATGTTACCTTGTGTAAAGTAGTACAATTAGCAATAACAGTAGCATTAAAGCCTAGAAAATGACAATGTTAACTATTAATTTGCAACCTTTAATTGCATGAGCTATATTTGTGATTATATAATAAAATCTAACACCAAAAAATTGTATACAGTAAATATGCCTTCAACATGGCAATTTTACTCCAGGGGAGAAAATTTTAAAAGGGGTAGGGAAAAAATAAAGAAATAGACGAAGAAGAGATAAGAATCAAGACTCTAGGACAAAGGAAGATTACAGGAACTTTGGGAAACTAGTGAAAAGATGGGAAAAGAGACAAGGAAGAAATAAAAACAAGAGTAGAACAGAACTGAATAACAACAAAACTAGAAACATGTTCACACCAATATAAAAACAAGCAACAAGAAAAAGAGGCAAAGAAGAAAAAAATGTTGTTTCTGCTGTCACTGGGGACAGAGTGAACAGAGTCCAGATCCATGTTGCTTAATTCCAGAAAGCCAGTGGTAGATTCATCGTGGGTAATGGATAATGCCAGTAAGCCTGCACCTGTAGTTTCACTGGCTGTGGGGCTGGAACTCTATTTGTCCAGCCTACAATGCTGTCTGTATCTTCTGCCAGCTTAAACTCAGCTCCTTAACCTCCTGCCAACGTAAACTCCATTCTGCCTCACCCTGACTTTGGGAGCTGCTAGATGGAGCTAGCTTGCAGCTGAACTGGCCTGAGTTTCAAGCTCAGCTGACCTCTCTCCAAGATGGCTACCAGCCATTTGCCTTCTGCAAAACATCTGAACCTGAATAACTCACCAGCCACCAGAGTGTGGCTTACCAGTCTCCATCTATGTCCACTGCTGTACTCTACTGGTGCACCTGTCTGAGGAGGCCTCTGGAATTGCCAGTAGTCACTGTGCATCTGCAGGTTCAAGCCCCACTCCCACTGCCATGTAGCATGTAAGTGTCTAGGGAGAAAGTGCTGCTTGCCACCTCCTTATGCATTGAAGTCTCTCTTTGCTCTTTCTGTGGGCTTCAATTCTGGCTTCAGCACCTAGCCACTTTCCTTTTTCTCTTCCCTGTCCACTTTAGATCCTTGTCCATCAACCTCCTCCTTTTCTTCACATTGCTGTGTTCCAGCATTTGGACGCCAAATTTTGGAAAGGATGATTTTCTGCTATTCACTCTGTCTTACAGCAATCCAGGACTTTTGTGTTCTTTACAGTGGAAATACATGTTGAAGTAGTTATTTCTAACACATATCCTCTGAGAATATGATGAAATTAGGAAGAACCCATGCTTTTACATAGGATGCTCCTGTGTGGTTCTAAGGAAACCTATATTTTTCCTATAACCTGCTCTCAGTTTTTCCCTTCAGATTTCAGGTTGCAGACTAGTTCTCCAACTAGGCTAACTTTGTATGTTTTACTCTCTACCCAAAAGTGCTGAGGTGCTATACTAGGCATTCTGACTTCTGCCGCAGAACTTTTGGTTACTCTGAAGCTCTTTCCTTCCTTATTTCCCTGAATTTAATTAGGTTTAAAGGTTTCTTTTTATTTTTTTCCCCTCCTACTTTTCAGGGTGATATTCTGACTGAGTGAACATGTCCATTTATAAGCCACAGTAAAATCAGTATAGAAATATTTATCCATTAGGACATACTCCCCCAGGAAAAAAGTAGAATATAAGTTAAAATAAGTAAAGTCAAAAATCTCCACAAACATGTTAAAACCATGAGAGTTGTACACAGTCATTTCCTTGATTATATTTGTCAGCCTTCCCAGCTTAAAGGAGAGAGATAGAGGAGAGAAGAAGGCAGGCATCCGAGCCCTCCTAGTCTCAGACATGTCCTGCCTTTAGGAGTTGTGTAACCTGCACTGGCCAAGTGGGCAAATGGGACCTGGATCCCCGGTGGTTTACAACTACAGAATAGGAGAAATTCAAAGGAGACACACTCTGGAAAAGCAGCCAGTGCAGTGTAGGTGTGTAGCAAAGTACACATCACCAAGAGACCTGGCTGTTCCCAGGTACCCTCTGAGGCTGTGCCTAGGAGGATGGTGGCACCAACATGGGGCTTTCTGAGGAGGGCCTGGGGGTCATCTGAGGGGCAGGACTTGTGGGGTCATCTGGGGGTTGGTGTCTGGATGTAGCCTGAGATTCCTGTTTAGGATGCTCTGGGACCTGGTGATCATTATGGGATCCAGTTGCTTGGTTTTCATGTGGTAAAGATGTCTTTTTGTTTTAAATGAAAGCTGTGTGCTTTTTAAATATGCATAGTAAGACATTCTTTTCTTTTCTTTTGCTAATTGGTTGCCTTTATAGTGTTTGTTGAAAAAGTGCTGAAGAAACTTTTTCCTAATGTTTCAAGTAGCCAAGAAAAGGGGGCACCTGGGATTGTGACCTCAGAAACACCACTCAAGAAAGTGACCTCGGAGAGAGTGAAGTCTAAGCATTTTCATTGTTTAACAGGTAAGGTAGTTTGCAGGTAAGGATGAATTACTACAGGCCCTCAGTTTTTCCCATGTTGTATATTTGCATGTGGAATGTTTCCTCTTAGTCTGAGGCTTCTCTTAGCTGAATAACTTATGCACAAGTCTTATAGCAGTGTTCAGCAGGGTGAGCATCATTCTGAATGAGTGATTCTAGAATTCACTTTGAAGGGAAGCCAGTATTAGTACTTCCCAGCCATACTGTAGACTACAGAGTTGTTTTTTGTTGAGTTTGTGTGCATGTTTTATTTTGAGGAAATTGCATTGTGGGTAGAGTTTTGGCTCAGCCAGAACAAGAACAGTAGCCTTTACCATTTTCACTCTGTCCACAATCACTATACTGACTCCTGCTGGCTTCCTTGGTACCATTTGGCTTCTGTTCAGTCAGGCAGTGCTTGGCTTTCCTTTTGCAGTGGTCTTTAGCAGATGTCTGTCCCAGTGATAGACCCACTCATGGTGTGACCATCTACAATGAGAGTTTCACCAACTCTAGTTCCCTAGCAGTGTAGTAGTGTTAACCTGTTGGGAGACCACTCTAGAGATTCACATGAATAGACCATGAGTGAATCTGCTTTTTTCCCCGATAGATACATAAGTACGTAAAACTCAACTTGGGTTTCTGAGTTCCTTTTCTTGAGATCATTTTCCTATCTTTTTAGCAGTAGTTTCTCCCTGAGTATATATTCTCACAGGATTCTATTCCTAAGGGCTGTTGATCTCCTACTAGTTCAGTTGAATAACCTTGAGACAAGAAATTCAATTTCAGTCCTATATTTTATATCTTATAAGATTCTCTCATTTGGGTCCCAACAGGCAGACTTAACAGTCTCACATGTAGTATCAGTGTCCTTCCTTGCAAGTCAAATGTCCATATACTATACCTGGAACACATTTTTCTGGGGAAAATAATATTATGCATTGTGATTGGATTTCCAGGCAAGTCCAGTAAGCCCATTAAATCTGTAATATAATGAATGTCTGTGGTACCATTATGATTTGGATATCAGTTGATAGAAGATAAGTAAGAAAAACATTTCCTTCACTTCTTACAGATAGAGTATTTTTTAGGACAAATCTATTGATCCCATGTTACTTTTCTGTATCCTTATCTGACTTAATGTTTTCAAGCTGTTATAAATTCTGCATATTTCTTGAACTAGTACTAAGAATAAATTGATTGCTGTAAAATGTACCTTCTAATTTTTAATGAGCTTAATCACTTTCCCTAAAAAATCATATTGAAGTTCTAACCCACTTCAGAATGTGACTATATATGGATAATTGGGATATTTAAAAGACGATTAAGGTTAAACAATTGAGACCTGTGGTGAGTGTCTGGTTTGTTTCCTGGTGTTTGTTATGAATAAGCTCTCATGAATGCCTTTTTACATGTTTTCTGGGTCCAGTGGGTCATGGTTTCTCTTGGAAATATTCCTAGATGTACGTACATTCATTGTGTGATGTTGGGTGATGAAGTAAGTATATGTTCAGTTATGAAAGGAAATGCTAAGCTGTTTGCCAAATTGATTTGAGCAATTTATACTCCCACCAGCAATGTATAAGAAAACCTCACTATTATATAATCATGCCCAACTGTGTTATATTTGCCACATGAATGGATATAAGAGAAATAACTAAGAGAAATATCAGTGACTGCCAGAATTTGAGGTGAGATAATATTTAGGGCTATGAAATTACTATATGATACTATAATGATGAATGCATATCACAATACATGTATCAAAATCCATGAAATATTCAATACCAAGATTGAAACCTAATGTATACTATGAACTTTGGGTGATAATGATGTATCAGTGCTCATTTATCTATTGTGACTCAAGGAGATGTTGCTTCTGTGTCTAGGTGGTAGAAGTTTGTGAGAACTTCTGCTCAATGTTGCTATAAAAACATAACTATTCTAAAACATAAGGTCATTTCCACAGTTTCCTTCCCTTAGTATACTCTGTAAATCTACTATATTAGCAGACTAAGGAAGGAAAAAAATCACAAAATTTTGTGAATTTTTAATGCATGAATAGTATTTGAAAGATTAAAATAAGATATCACTTTTCACTATGTTCTCAGTATTGTTTCCCTGATCAGTAATGTTTTGTTAATTTACTAATTTCTATTTTAACTTTTATGTATCTCCCTTGTGGCTATTGTGTTTCACTGGTTTGTATTAATAGTTAGATAATTTGTTTTCAAACTTCCTTATTTACTAATAAGTACATTTTATGATATTAAAAAGATTAAATGAAGTGATTAGAGTAGACTACTACAGTTCTATATGACTGATGTCCTTATAAAAAGAGAATAGTCCACTTCTCTGTTAACTGATGCTTTCCATTACTCTTTTATTCCTGCTATTGTCATTTGTATGTCTTCTTTTTTTAAGTATCTGTTCTTGTTTTACTGTCTTAAAAAAAGTGAAATGTTTATTTTAACATTAATTTGCATGGATGTTTATATATCTTGAATACAAGTGTTTTGCCATAAGTATTTTTCTAGGGCCACCTTTTTTTAAATACAGTATTTGAAGAATAAGAATTTTTCATTTTGAAGATCTTCATTTCTTTTATAATCTGTGTTTTTTGTGTTCTGTCTGAGAAATCTTTAATACACCCTTCAAGCAATAGAGCTAGTCTCCTGAGCTTCCTTCCAGGAATTTTGTCACCTGGATTTTCCATTTATGTGTTTGTTTGGTGATATTAGAGATTGAATCTAAGACCTTTGGACTGAGCTATAACCTTTTCATATGAATCGGTAAACAAAATATGATATTACACTCCATGAAGTACTACTCTATAATTAAGGTAAACTTGAGTCAATGGTAGCAAAATGGATGCACGTTGAGACCATAATGTAAGTGAAATAAATCTGACACACAAGCTTAAATATCGCATAGCTCCTCTTATATGGGAAACCCAAAGTATTTTTTTTTTCAATATTGATAGATAGATAATAGGAACTAGAGAAATAGATCTTTCCTACATGGGAAGATGATCAACAGAGAAAGGGATGGGAGGTTAAAGGGAGAGAAAGGAATTTAAAAAAGGAATTGGGATGTGCTATGTGCATGTACCAACTCCACATAAGAAATGTAAATATGATGGACTGTAAACATGTACTAATAAATTTTTTACTTGTGTTTTGAGATAGGGTCTCACTAAATTGCCTAGTCGGATTGAATCTGCAGTCCTCTTGCCTCAACCTCCCAGACTACTGGGATTACAGGCATACCTTACCTGGCTTTTTGCGACTCCTTAACAGTGTACCTGTGTGTGTTGCTGCAGACAGGGATCTTGCTAGGCCTATGACTTGCATAAGGGATAAAATGACTAAAAAGATAGAGGAGAGGCTGGGAAACTAAGAGGACAAATATCAGGCAGGTGTGATCTGATCCCTTCCCTTACCCCTCTGTTAAGATCATCCAGCTCTTCGATGTGGGGGTGAAGATTTACTAGGTGGAAAAGGGGCAAAGGAGAAAAACAGCTTGCATAGTACAGACCAGAGACAGGGCAGGTAATCAGAAAATGTCGCTGAGGGTTTGCAGACTTGTGCAGGAGCCAAGTTTCCTTCATTCCGCAGGAAGCAAGAGGGCGTAGCCAAATCAAGTTGCTTTTATTCAAGCAGATTAGATTCTAGAAGATTAGAAAGCTGAATACCTAACAGTTGAAGTTGGGTAAGTGAACTGTGCTGCACTGAAAGATGGGAATCTGTTTATCTGTTAAAAGTCAGACTAGTGTGTGGATATTTCCATGCCTTTGATAAGAAATACAAATATATTACAACCATCTGAGCAACTTATTTAAAATATTCAATCATATAGGAAATTTTTATATTAATTTTTAGGATCTATCTTACTAATGGACCTGTGGTAAACTTACTCTTTTTCCTGAGTGACCTGGCTTACTATAACATTTCAAATGTTTGTTACTATTATCTTAAGATAACAGACTAGAAGGCCCAGAAGTAGTTTCGTTAAAATTGGCTTGAATAATCCATGACTATAACTGGAAGTGTAGAAGCAAAGTGTGGTATGTTTAGTTAATAGAGCAACCAGTAAGTCCAGCAAGTCACACTTTTAGGGGCAGCTTTTATGCATGGACTGTAAAAGCTTCTTTCTCCTACAGACACAGCGTGGCCTTTAGCAACCCTGACCAGAACAAGGTGCAGCTAAGGTGAGCAGCTCTGACACCTTCATAGTAGTGAGTCATTCCTGTGGGCATATGTCCTCTCTTGTTACTAGATTGGGTCAGGTCACTCCTCTATGTCATTGTACCCATGCATTTATCTGTCCTTAGGCAGGTTCAGGTCTAAGGGGTGTAGATCTTGACTGTCACAGTCCTTGCAACATCCCCAAGGCTTCCCAGCAACTCAGGAAGATGTTGCTCCTTGAGTGCACACAGTATCTCAGCCTGGGCAGGCCATAGGGGCCCTCAGACCCATCAAGGGAGAATCATCTCAATGCATAGCAGCATCTGCCATCAGAGCCCTAGGAGCTCTTACTCATACCCTCTGTGGACTCTGTCCATGAGGCCAGCCACATGTTGTATCCTTCTGGGGAACTGATTACTCCACCAATGGGGAAACTGAGGCTGGAGCCTCAAGGCCAGCAGGGACATGCACATCCCTAACCAAGCTGTGAGGCCAGAACTTACATTAATTGTTACCCAGGGATGCTTTTTGCTTTTTTCCAAATGGTGCTGCAGATCCTGGGTTTATGAATTCTGAGGATTTAGCTAAAGTGATGGCATCCTGGGAACTGGGGGCTCTCAGATCCATCACTGTGTTGCAGAAGCAACCCCATGCATAGCCAGTAGGCTGTGATTTATTCAGTAAAGGATAAGATTGTTATAAAGGATAGGATAAGATTGTTGGTTGTAGAATAGTGAAATGCCCACATCTTGCCAAGACTCTGCTTATATTGTACCAAGGGCATGGTAAAACCTGTGAATAAATAATGGCAAGATG